GGCCGCCCCCGGCCACCACAGCCTCGACCCGCTGGGCTCTGGTGATCCTTCCGCCTCAGCCTTCCGAGTAGCCGGAATTACATGCATGCGCTACCACGCCCGGCTGATTTTTTGATCTATTGTAGAGATGAGGTCTCGCTGCCCAGGCGGGTCTCGAACCCGTGGGCTCAGGCAATTCACTCACCTCAGCCTCCCAAAGGCACGGGATTGCAGGCTAGGCCACCGAGCCCGGCTGGCATTTCTTTTTAGAGACGGGTCTCACTCTGTCACCCAGGCTGGAGTGCAGTGGTGTGATCGTAGCTCACTGCAACCTCAAACCCCTAGGCTCCAGCGATCTTCCACCTCAGCCTTCTGAGCAGCGGGGACCACAGGTGCCACCATGCCCGGCCTGTCTGTGGCGTCTCTGAGGACAGCCAGGTGCTAGAGCCGGTTCCTGGAGCCCTGCCCCGCCCACCTGCCGCCCACAAAGCCTCCGTGTCTGGAGCGGAAGTGCATGGCCAGGTGTGGGCTCCGGGACGGACTCTGCTTTCTGAGGAGGAGACACAACTGCATTTCTGGCAGGACTGAAAGTGGAATGTGATGCTGGCACAGAAGGGAACTCCATGATGCCCAGGAACCTCCCTTCACACCGAGACCAGCGACTCTGAGCCCTGCACGCAGGCCCTGGAAATGAAAGGCCTGGACAGCCAGGTCCCAAGCACCACGCAGAGCTGTCCGGACCATCGCGCAGAGGAAGCGTGCTGGGAGGTCGCTGCCCAGAGCCCCGGGAGACAGGGCCTCCCTCGACAAGGCCACCTGAGCCGAGGACGCAGAGCTAGGCCGGCACCACCGCAGAGCCGCCGGCCCCTCCTGTCGGGTTGGGTCTGCAGGCCCGCAGGCCTGTACGCCCTTGCTCTGCAGGACCGGTGGCAGGCCCAGCAGCCCCGCTTGAGTGCCTGTGGGTACACGAGCCGCTGTGGGGGAGGGGCGTGTGGCTCAGGGAGGGGCAGGAAAGTCCAGCGAGGCCTACACATTCCTGCCACAACTGCATGACCACACGGCAGATCAGCCGAGAGACAACTAGGTCAGAGTGAGTCCTCAAGCCCAGGAAGGAGAGAGAAGCTGCCCAGCGTCCTAGCTAGAAAAGGTGTCTTCTTCCATTTATTGATAATACATTTTCACAGAAACAGGATATATTTACAAATATACAGGTAAGAGACTGCTGGTCAGAAATCTTCAACCAAAAATGTCAACGAAAGTTAATTTACAAAAGCCCCCAAGAGTCCGTGGAGGCCCCGGGCGGCACTGGACGGAGCTGGTTCGCGCCCCACTGTCCCCGGTGGCCTAGGAGGCGCTGGTCTGCAGGTTTTTGGAAGCCGCAAGCATCGCTCTGACTTTGGCCATGAGATCCTGTGGGCGAGACACGAGGGGAACCAGTGAGCTTCCTGCAAGACCTAGGCATGCGACAGCCACACAGACATCTAGGAAAACACGAGTGTGAGGGACAGACAGGGCTTCCCATACCAAGCGCAAGGCAGTCTTGGCAGGGTGTGGGTGCAGCTGCGACCACACCAAGACAGGTTACCCAGGGTGCCCTCACACTCCGCCACCCTGCTCCTTGGGGCTGACAGTCTGCTCCTGTGAGGCCTGCGGCCCGGTGGCCTCAGCAGGGCACTCGTGCAGGCACACACGGTTGCTCAGGAAGACGCGGCCGCCAGGACCCTCCCGTGTTTGCGCCACTGACACGAGGGACAGGGACAAACACTGAAAATAACAGAACAAAACAAACAAGGCCCCTTCCTGGAAGGAAGGGAAGATGCTCATGTTTACCTGAGTGATTTTGCTCTGCACGGAAGAGACGATCGCTGAGGAGATCTGTGCGTCCTTTTCCTGAGAGACCCCCCTAGTGCAGAAGGGAAGAGGGAGGCTCATGACCGCGCAGGGACTCGTGCCCAGTGCCCGAGATGAGAAAGGCCACTGCGCGGGCGCCAGCACCTCTAAAGCAGAAGCAGATGCTGCCAACATCCATGGCCACTCCCTTGAATGTTTTATAAAACGCATCCCAACCTGGACAGACTTTATACAGGCACCAAATTCAGCACGGGAGAGATGACGGGGAGAGGCCACACCAGCAGGCGATGCCTGCCCCTGCCGCCTACCCGAGCGTCTGCAGTGGCCCACACCCAGCGTCAGGGCCTGCTGTGCACATTTGTGTTTCCACCCTGAGATGCCAGCTTGAGACTCCGCCACCTCAATGGGACAGCCCAGTGTGGCTCTGGCTGTGGACATCCCACTGCTCATGTTTATGGAAGCGGTGGGCGGACCGAGAGCAGGGAACCCGGCTCATGGGCGATGCCCTCAGCCCCTGGTGTGTGAGCGCATGGTGTGTGGAGGCTGTGTGACTTGAAGCTGTTATCTGGACATGGAACATGGACAGGAAAAGCCTCCTGACAACTGTGGGCTACCATCAACCAAGGGACAGGGACGCCCGCATGTGTGATGCTGCCTGGGTTTTACACCTCGTGACAGTCGGTGGGGACACAGCTAGGAACTCGGGGGGAAAGGACCCGCCCAGCACTCTGCGCCCTCCCCCAAAAGCGGCCCCAAAGTGTGGGTCACCTGGAGCGCTCCTGGCTGGAGCCCCGACTCTCCACGGGAGAGACGCTGGCCGAGTGGGCTGCGGGGGCTGCGGGCCGGGGGGCTGCCTGCTTGCTCGGGGACGCTGACTGAGACCTGGCCTTGGACTTGGTCCGCGACCGGGATCGTCTCTTCTTCTTCTTCTCGTGAGGACTTCTGAAAGGAAAGGCGTTTGTGAAACACGCATGTGAGCCTGCGGGTGCAGAATGATGGGGGAGCTTGGGTGGAATCTGTCCCTGAGGGAGTGTTCCTCTGGGGGGACAGTTCTGTGACTGAGCCTCACCACGCACACAAATCCTTTCAGAGCTGAACACAGTTAGTTCATGGCAGACAGATAAGACAGGCGTGGCCTTCAGGAGGAAGGGTCTCTGCCGCATGGAAAGCAGCATTTAAAATGCAAGCAGCGCTGGAGGCGGTGGTTCACGCCCATAATCCCAGGACTCTGGGAGGCCGAGTTGAGAGGATTCCCTGAGCCTGCGGATTCAAGACCAGCCTGGGCAACTTGGCGAGACCTCATCTCTACAATAAATCAAAAAATTAGCCAGGCATGGTGGCATGTGCCTGTAGTTCCAGCTACTTGGAAGGCTGAGGCGGAAGGATCGCCGGAGCCCAGCAGGTCGAGGCTCCGGTGGCCAGAAGTGTGCCACTGCCCTCCAGCCTGAGTGACAGAACAAGACTCCAACTCAAAAAGGAAAAAAAAATACAAGCAGCACTGGAACTGCATTTAAGACACCCGAGGTAAGAAACCGAGTGCTGTTTATGCCACTTTGTCGTTTATGCTGATTCAAAAGGCATGGGAAATTATTAAAGTATTACAGGCACCGAAGTTCTGCGAGTTCCATGTTCCTTATTCTTTTTAGGGACAGGGTCTCACTCTGTGGCCCAGGCTGGAGTGCAGTGGCTAGATAACAGCTCACTGCAGCCTCCAACTCCTAGGCTCCAGCAGTCCTCCTTCCTCAGTCTCCTGAGTAGCTGGGACGTCGGTGTGATGGGTGTGACCACCGAGCCACCTGCCTCTGCTCCGACAAGGTCCCAGGGACCCAGCTCTGGTCTTTGGGCAGCTGGGCCCGCTCGGAGCTGCTGGCTCGGCTCTGACCACTGCCTCCTGAGTGAGTACACACCACCCAACGGGCGCCTCCACACTGGAGGTGCATACTAGGCCACGCCCACCCAAGCCCCCTCCCCTCCTGCCTGCTCGGCATCTGTGGTCCATCACCCCACTTTCACGGCATGCCATGGAACCCTCTTGCCTACGCCCTTAAACATATACATATATGCTTCTAGGTAGACTCAGAGGAAAAACACATTGTGAAGGACACAACAGGCAGGATGACAGTGACAGTATCTGCTGCCCCTTGAACATATTTTAAGGAAGAGACATGTGCACCGGGTGAAAGCCACACGCCCGGCCCCTCCAGCCAGCCCCACAGGCTCTTGTGCTGCCGTGTCTTCTCAGGTCCGTCCTTGCCACATGCGGCAGCCCAGTGGCCGCGAGCCCCAGCCCCCTCCATCTCCGGGTGCGGCGCTTCTGGGAGACTCTGTGGGGAGAAGTCGCCATGGATTTCTCCGGCTGGGGCCCCCTACCATCACCCCCAGCTGCCGCCCTGCCCAGGAGAGGGCCTGCTGGCTTGGGGGTGGAAACTGCGGTCTGGCTGAAGCTGCCCGCACCTCTACCAAGTGCCCCTGAGCTGCTTGGCCCACCTGGAGGGGAACACAGAACCTTGCTGGAGGCTCACCCTCTTGGAGTCCCTCCCTGCCCAGCTCTGGCAGCCTGGGCTCCCTTAGGCTGGGGCGTGGCATGGAGGCCATCCCACCCTGGCCCTTTCTCTTCCCTCCAGGGAGAAGTCTCAAGCTCTGGCCCTCACAGGGCCACATGACTTCCGGTACATCTACAGGGCCCGCCCTGTGGTCTGAGATGTCCCTGCAGGGTACAGACCCCAGTGGGGGCAGAGCCCACCTTCGCCTCTAGCGCCCCACCGGCATGCAGCTTCTAGAGGTGCTTAGGAACCCAGGAGTCTGGCCGCGGCTCCAAAGCTCAGACACAGCCCAGGAACCAGGGGCTGCGCCATTCCCGGAAACCGACGGGGCTCAGCGCCTTGGTCAGGCCCCTGTGTGCTGTTGTGGGTGACAGCAGACTGATGATGGCACCAATGCAGCGACCTGCCCACCAGCACGGCAAGCTTGTTGTTCAGCTCTGCTTCAGTGAAACCAGGAAGACTCGCCAGAGGGGGTGCCAGCTGGCAGCTTAGACTCAGCTGCTGGAAGCGGCCGTCTCTGGTGAGCTGCGCCTGGGCAGATGATCTGGAACCTTCTGGACGCCTGCCTGATACGGCCAGCGAGGAGGACACGTGGTTATAAAGGATACACAGATGTAGAGACTGCACACAGAGGGTGAATTTCTAAATTGCCACAAGTTTTGTGCAATTTTTATAGCCATACACATACGCTAAAATGTCAAAGAAAGCAGCAAATAAAATATTTAGCAGTATGTGACACACGTCCAAAATGCTCCGTATCCAAATAGGGCTCAGTCCACGTGGCCCATAATGAATGAGAGGCCACTAAGCCTCAGTCGTAAACCAGGGGCAATTCTGCTACAACTGTTCACATGACAGAACTTTTAAGCACTTGCTGAAGAAACCGAATCATTTGTTCACTTAATTTGAGTTTGGGGCCTCCCTCAGGCTGTAGCCCAGCTGGAGTGCAGTGGCACAATCACAGCTTCTCAGTCTCGACTTCCTGGACTCAAGCAATCCTCCTGCCTCAGCCTCCCCAAGTGCTAAGATTACAAGTATGAGCCATGATGCCTGGCCCTTTCATTCACTTTACAAGCAGTACATCAAGTGACGCCACCTGCTGCCACTGAGCTTGGCCAGCACACACATCGTGACACCTGAACCCCATCTGCTTTGAGTCAGTCTGCACTCTGTCTCTACCCTTAGACAAACTCACTATTCTGATTTCCAGTACACAGCCCAAAGCTCCATAGAAGAGTCCCACACTAAGCATGCATCCAGCTTCTAGCACCCAGCAAAGTGCTTCTGAGATTCCTCTCGAAGCTGGTCCATCCTCTCTCAATCTGTTTCTTTTACTGGTGAACAGCACCACAATGCAGGAATCTCTCCGCATTCCTCATTTGTTTACTCATTCTCCTGTTAATTTGGTTGTTTCTAATTTTTGGCAATTATGAATTCAGCTGTTTTTGATCAAGTGATTTCTCTTTTTTGTGTGTGTGTTGGAGTCTCACTCTGTTGCCCAGGTTGGAGTGCAGTGGCACACTCATGGCCACCCAGCGTCAACCTGCTGGGCTCAGGTGATCCTTCTGCCTCAGCCTTCCATTTAGCCGGGAACTACAGGTGCACGCTACAATGCCCGGCTAATTTTTGATTTATTGTAGAGACGAGGTCTCACCAAGTTGTCCGGGTTGGTCTTGAACCCGCGGGCTCAGGCAATCCACTTGCCTCGGCCTCCCAAAGTGCTGGGATTACAGGTTGAGCCACCAAGCCCAGCTGAATCCTCTTTTTTAAGAGACAGGGTCTCACTCTGTCACCCAGGCTGGAGATTGGTGGCATGATCACGGCTCACTGCAGCCTTGGTACCCTGGGCTTAGGTGATCTTCCTGCCTCTTAAGTAGCTGGGACTACAGGTGTGTAGCACCACAACGGCTAATTAGTTTTCTTTCTTTTTTTTTTTGAGTTGGAGTCTCACTCTGTTGCCTAGGCTGGAGTGCAGTGGCACGCTCACGGCTACCCCAGTGTCAACCTGCCAGGCTCTGGCAATCCTTCCACCTCAGCCTTCCAAGTAGCCAGGAACTACAGGAGCATGCTACCATGCCTGGCTAATTATTAATTTATTGTAGAGACGAGGTCTCGCCAAGTTGCCCAGGCTGGTCTTGAACCCGCGGGCTCAGGCAATCCACTTGCCTTGGCATCCCAAAGTGCTGGGATTAAAGTGCTGAGCCACTGAGCCTGGCCACTAACTAGTTTTTTTGCAGAGATGATGTTTGCTATGTTGTCCAGGTTGGTCGGTCTCGAACATCTGACCTCAAGTGATCCTCCTGCCTCAGCCTCCCAAAGCGTTGGGATTATAGTCAAACGTTTACTTTATAAATACCTGGGAACAGAGCAGCTGGGTCGTGGAGCTGGTGTGCATCTAACTTTGTAAGAAACCCCGAACATTTCCAAACCAAGCGTCTGAGTCCAGATGCTGGCATGCCCTCACTCCCTGAGGCCAGTCTTTGTTTCAGTGGGGCTAGTCAGTCACTAGTGTATCTCACTGTGGTTTTAATCTGCATTTCCCAGTCTGATGACTCATGATGTTAAATATCCTTTCACGTGCTTATTGACTATTTAAATACATCTTTTATGAAGTGGTTCATGTCATCTGCCCCTTCCTAACTGAGTCGTTTGTCTTTTTGGTACTGACACAGGATTCAGTCAAGGATGTTTATGCGGTGGCCTATTCTTTTTTTTGAGTCAGAGTCTCACTCTGTTGCCCAGGCTGGAAGGCAGTGGCAGATCATGATCACCACAGCCTTGACCTCCTGGGCTCAGGCGATCCTCCCATTTCACCCTCTTGAGTAGCTGGGACTGCAGGCACGTACCACCATGCCCAGATTTTTTGTTGTTGTTGTAGAAATGATGTGTCGCTTTGTTGCCTAGGCTGGTTTTGAACTCCTGGGCTCAAGCAATCCTCTTGCCTCAGTCTCCCAAAGTGCTAAAATCACAGGTGTGTGCCACTGCGCCCGGCCAATCTGAATCTTTTGAGATGTATTTACTGGTCCGAACCTGGTCTACCTTGGTGAGTGCTTCTCACACTCAGAAGGAAGGCACTTTTCCAGTTGCTGGCTGCAGTGCTCTGGGTTGGCACAGTAGGCCCGTAGCAAGGGTCAAATTCCTCTCCACACTTTGTGGTGTCTATCTGTGCTGTGAGTTCTGTCAATTTTGCTTCAATATTTTAAAGTCCTTTTGTTTTTATTATTTTTGATTCAGAGTCTCATTGTTGCCCAGGCTGGATTGCAGTGACATGATGACAGCTCACTGCAGCCTTGGCCTGCTGGGTTCAAGTAATCCTTCTGCCTCAGCCTCCTGAGTAAATGAGACTACAGGTGTGTACCACCATGCCCAGCTTATTATTATTATTATTATTATTTTTTT